GGATAAGATGATAAGGCACCATCGGAGACAGGGAGGATTGAAAGGAGAAACATGAGTGTGGATAAGATGATAGGGTATCATCAGAGACAGGAAGGACTGGAAGCAGAAACAGGAATGGGGATAAGATGATAAGGCATAATCGGAGACATGGAGGATTGGAAGGAGAAACAGGAGTGCGGATAACATGATAGGGCATCATCGGAGATGGAAGCAGAATGTGAAGAAGGCAGAATTAGAATTACATGAGATAAATAGTGTTCTCAAACGGTCAGGTGTAAAGGGAAGTTCCAATTTTCGGGAAATAAGAAGACTAAATGGTGTTAGGAAGCAGTGGAGGGTATTCCCTGCAACCAGTATATCCTATAATAGCGAAGACTTTATTGAGAAGCGGTTACATGTTTGTAAGTCTGAATGTTATCAAACTCTTGTTGGTTAATCATCTTTGAGTACTCGGCCTTACAGCGCGCTGACCTCAATGGAGAATCAGTTCATTCGGGGAATGAGATATACTCTAATCAGGGCTCAGAAGAAAGCATTTATATTAATGACGCTTCTGGCTACAGAGATGCAAAACACATCATTTGACGACTGATTTTTCTGTATTATTTTCAATTTCAATGTCCAGCTTATCATATAAAGTTTATTAAGACACTATTTTTTTAAGCCAAAAATCTTTCTTATATTTCTCCTTCATTTGATATCATAATAAAACGTCGCATAAATGAGTACAAATTTTCGATGTATTCGGTAAAATTTTGTCGGAGCTGTTGAGGGAATTAAGGCTTTTTGGATAGGCATCACATTTGGTGGTTATTATCTTCTATTGTATATGTAGTTGTAGAACCCGAACATTCTTTAATATTCACACAGCATTCACCGTGGGAAAATCAATAACGAACAGGGAATTACAACATAATTCCTTCCGTTTACGTTAATTCGCATCCGACTGACTTTAAGCAGTCTGTCAGTTGTTCTTTTTGTTCGTTTCTTTAGTGTCTCTTAATCCTTCGAAATGCTAAGGCGTAGTCGGCGGTACGCGTCATAATTTGCCCAAAGTTTGGTTAGGTCGTGATTATCTTCCGCGGAAAGAATATACGGGAAGGGACATTTATAGGGAATTAAGTATGGGTTTCGGCTCTCTGTTCAATCATCTCCCAGCATTTCGATATGACGGATGTGACTGCGTGGTGGCTTTCAACAAATAACTAAATTATAGGTTAAGTCGCGATTCACTGTATGCATTTACTACTTGAACACATCAAGCAGGCTCTGACTACAAAACTGCAGCAGAAGATGAATTTACTGCTTCGCTGACGTTGTACCTAATACGTTTGTATATCCAATATGCAAAAGAGCGCTGTAACAATTGGTAAACAAACAAAAGTGCGTCGCTTAACTCATTACATCGTTAATTTTATTGATGATCAATCATTACTTACGAGACAGTTCAATATATATTCACGTAAAACGCAGATATTTGAAAAGCAGTGGCAGCTTTCATCCTCATAGAAGGACTTACTGGGATATGCTAACATGCACGAGTTTGAGGTATATAAATAGAGGGTGCTTCTGAAATAAGTACCTACCATACTGTAGGGAGAGTGTTAACTAAATGCAATGAATAATAGAATTATAATAAAACCAGGCGAAATTGCAATCCGAAGTCGGCCCTGGGCGTGAATTGCGATAACAAACAAGTAACTACACCCTACCAGGGTCGGACTGACCTTTGTACGTACACATTTACACAAGGGATAAAAGAATTATAAGAAAACTAGACACACACAGACACGCAATCCGAAGCCGGCCCTGGGCGTGAATTGCGATAACAACCAAGCAACTACACCCTACCAGGGTCGGACTGACCTTTGAACGTACATATTTACCCAAGGGATAAAAGAATTATAAGAAAACTAGACGAAATTGCAATCTGAAGCCGGCCCTGAGCGTGAATTGCCATAACAAACAAGCAACTACACCCTACCAGGGTCGGACTGACCTTTGAACGTACATATTTACCCAAGGGATAAAAGAATTATAAGAAAACTAGACGAAATTGCAATCTGAAGCCGGCCCTGAGCGTGAATTGCCATAACAAACAAGCAACTACACCCTACCAGGGTCGGACTGACCTTTGAACGTACATATTTACCCAAGGGATAAAAGAATTATAAGAAAACTAGACGAAATTGCAATCTGAAGCCGGCCCTGAGCGTGAATTGCCATAACAAACAAGCAACTACACCCTACCAGGGTCGGACTGACCTTTGAACGTACACATTTACACAAGGGATAAAAGAATTATAAGAAAACTAGACACACACAGACACGCAATCCGAAGCCGGCCCTGGGCGTGAAGTGCGATAACAAACAAGTAACTACACCCTACCAGGGCCGGACTGACTTTTGAACGTACATATTTACACAAGGGATAAAAGAATTATAAGAAAACTAGACGAAATTGCAATCCGAAGCCGGCCCTTGACGTGAATTGCGATAGCAACAAGCAACTACACCCTACCAGGGTCGGACTGACCTTTGAACGTACATATTTACACAAGGGATAAAAGAATTATAAGAAAACCAAACGAAATTGCAATCCGAAGCCGGCCCTGGGCGTGAATTGCGATAGCAAACAAGCAACTACACCCTACCAGGGTCGGACTGACCTTTGAACGTACATAATTACACATTGCGTAGCGTTAGATGTGCATGGGACGACACTGGCAAACTAATAAAATTGACCCTAGCGGAAGATAATCGGTGTACCGTCAAGAAAAAGTTAATTTAGCGTGACATAAATCAACCAAGTCCATGTAGGGAACGTACAAAACGTACTTGTTGCGTCATATACCTAATGTGTACACACTCATATAAATGTGCCGATTTATTAACAAGAAGGATGATTTTGAATCATAAACCGCAAACATAAAACTGACTTCTTTACAGTAAGTATCCCACCCATAAGTTTTAACAATGATTTATGGCGCAATCAAAATATTATTTTTAAACTGACATGCGACATACGCGTCCAATGGGAAAACGTACAGTCTAGAAACCTTGTTACTCTCGTATTATATACCATTAGGCTTATCGTAATACCTAAACATATAAGTTAAATGAGGTCAAGAAGAATGGAAAGCTTTTTTGCACATGTCATGTCCTAGGATGTTTATTTTCAGTCCTAAAAGTTATTGGATTATTAAAGTTTCGTCTATTTAATTTAAAATTTTTATGAGGATGCTTCGAACAAGGACAAATGCTGACGGTTTTGATGATTGCGCCTTTCTCCTTCGCATTACGTACCGGTGAGGGTTAAATGACTTCATGGGCTTTGAAAGGTTTTATTTTTTAGAATAACAGTACCTAGTAGAATAAAACAATTCAAATACAAACCACTTTGAATTGTTTTATTCGATTAAGCTAACGTGCCTACCACGTTGAGGTTGGCTACGCCGGGATTCGTTTTCAGCAAGTAGATATTCACACAAGTGGACCTTGTTGGAGCATACGTAATCCTAAAATGTAGCATCGTGCTACAGATGGCGTTTACTGCACCATTTGTAGTATTTTCTAAAAGTACCTAGTAGAGTTAGAGTGATTATTCAACCCTTAAATAAGACGTAGCACAAAAAAGGACTAAGATATTAAGTGAAATACCATTAAATATTTCACTGAAGATCAGTTTTTTAAACCATGAAATTTCGTACAAAAAAGTCTGGTAAAGCATAAATTAATGTAAAATTAACAGTTAAAACAATGGAAAAGCGATTTTTTCTGACTAACTCACGTTGTGCATTGAATTAAATAATTACCAATTAGAATTACCAGTGATGTCCATTTACCAAGAAAAACTAAAAAATTAGGTAAATCCTTATCTAGACTCAAGAGAACTATAAAAAAGTCATGACGATTTCACTGATGATTTTTTTGTGATATAAAAACAAAAACCTTACGGGAAATTTCGTAGTGACGCTGATGTCTATAATTTAATTGGAAAAACCGTGAAGAAACATATTTAATAGGTGAAAAATTAATGATAATAGACGCAGTTTGATACGTCTTTATTTCTTCTGCAATTGTAACTGTGTGGCTTTAAATAATTATTGCTGTTCCTTTATTTTTTCCGAGTTTTCCAGCTTATGAGGTATCATCAGAAAATTTATAAAAATAAATTGAATATTTCATTTATATGATGCGTTACCGTATTTTACTCATATTAATTGTTGATGTGGTCGATATTCGTTATTATAACATAAAAGAAAATTATTTTGCATCAGCCGAGAATCGAACTCGAGCCATCCACGTGGCAAATATTAACTATAAATTGAATTAAATTTAATAGTTTTATTCCTGTCTTATTACAATAATGATATACCACAAGTTTCAATGTTCATGTATTAATATGGTACATGTACCTATAAAATAAATGTGGTCTCACAGGCGAATGATGAGGACACTGTGGATAGAGAAGGTTAGAAATGATGAGGTATTAGAAAGAATAGGAGAACAAAGGACAACATAAAATAGGCGAGATAGGTGGTAGGACACCTTTTTAGCCATGAAGAGCTAGTCAGAGACATATTGGAGGCAGAAACAGGAGTTAAGAGGAATAGGGGTAGACATAGGTTAGATTAATCTTCGCAAATAGTTAAAGATGTCGGTTGATATCGAGTTTTCCAGAATTCTCTTAACTCTTGTTTCTACCTCTAATATGTCTCTGACGCCCTTCATGCCTGAGAAGATGCCCTACCAAGAAGTCTTTCCTAGTCAGAAACATATTAGAAGCAGAAACAGAAATTAGAAGGGGTAGAGGTAGACCTAGATTAGATTAGATTACTGTTAGCAATTAGTTAATAATGTGAAGTATGCTATATAATTTTAAGGAAATGCGAAAATTAGCTCAGGATAGGAATGCGTGGAGGTGCTTGTCCAACCAGTCTTAGGACTGACGACCTTATGATGATGATTATAATGATTTGGGGAAAAAATGATAGATATACAGGTGCACAGTTTATTTTTTAAAAGACAAATGTTGAGTGAATGTACAAATCAGATTACATGTGGCCTATTTATTGGGCAAGGTGGTTTCGCATTAGGATTTCCTGGATCGTAAGTTTCCAGAATCCTCTTCAACTCGTTGTTTTGATGTCGTAGACACAGTACTTCCTCGCTGATTTTTTTACGATCTACAATAAACAATTACACATCAGGGGTACACCATTTAAACAGTGTTTTCCTCCATTGTAGAATAAAGATTCGGGCTATAGGGCCGTGGTCTAAGTGAACTATTCTGTTCAGGCGTTTCGTCGGCTACTGCGACTGACATCCTCAGTGGTAGTGCTGCGTTGACATCGTGAACGCAGATTGGGTCGCTGTCGAGACTTCGAGATATAATCTACATTCACGTTGTCAATTTCATTTAATTGGAATTTTGAAACAATTTTACTGCTTTAATTTCATATTTATATTCAGGGTCTTTTATAAGCTGTTTGGTACCTTTAATGCCATCTATGGTTTGGACACATAATGAAAAAAAATGATAAACAGACAGCGGAGAAAACTTTATTACATATCAAAACCGTTCTTGTAGCTACCAAACAAATTTCAAAAACATTTTCTTTTTGTATTGTTTGAAAATCGGTTTTGGCGAACAAAATATAAATATTCTGTAAGTACCTTTCAAAATTTCGTGATATTTCTGAAGTCCGAACATGAGTCCATCCCACAATTGTTCCTTCGTAGGGGAGAACACATTCCTGAATTGCATCCAAAAGAATTTGATATCTTCTTCCGTTAGAAGTCTAGATATATTTCTTCTGACGTTACTCAGTCGTTCTGTCATGGTTTTAGGGCTAGATTTGTTAACTATTAAATTAATTTTGATTTGTTGGATTCCTTATTTCTTACCCAAAATCATGAGGAAGGACTTCATCAGCAAAATCTCGCAAAGCTCTTAGGGCGTAGATGGAGCTTATCATCAGTGGGTGATGTCTTTCACACGAAACCCTGCAGGGTTCCACGTAATCCACTTTGGGACGTGCTTGATGGGGTAAACTTGAAAGAAACAATTTTATGGAAACTAAAGTTTGCAACAAGAGGACCTATGACATGTAAAGAATGATTAAAACCGTTCCTCGTCTAGTGGTCTGCGACAGGGCCGTACTGGCTCGGAGTGCAGGGGTGCAAACGCACCCCGGGCCAAATGCCTCCCGGGCCAAACCGGGCCAAATGACCCAAAAAATAAAAAAGTTTTAAAACAAGAGCAAAGACCGATGCAAAGACAAACGCAAATTCCCTCCTAACTTCTTAAATTTATTTAAAAACGAGCTCTGTTAAAATTTGTGCACTTAATGAATATCACACCGCTTGGAAGATATTAGGATTAAAAAGAAGCAATAATGGGAGAAACTACATTGAGGACATTTAACATTTTCAAACTCCTTAAGAAGTAGTGAGAAGTGTGACTGTAATAAAATCATCAAAATAGGCAAAAAAGGAAAGGAAGAAGACTATCATGAAGACTCTTAGGAATCTAAAAGTTGGTTTAAATTATTCTCTGTCCAAAGGTCAAGAATGTGTAAGTTTTAAATATGATTGTAGCTTACGCTGCTTTAAAGATTCTAAAATTTGCCATTAATTAAATTAACAAAAAAGAAGAAGAACGAATCATCTATTATGTCCAAATTCATTAGAAAGCAAGTAGAAATTAAATGGTAATAATTAAGTTACAAATTAATAGCTAAGAAAGCAAGGAAACTACTTAATTACAGAGCTTTCATAGAATAAGAAATCTAAAGATCGCCTAATGGTTTGGATAAATTTTTTCCTATGGATTTGAAATTTTCTAGATTGATCTAACTGAATTATTAATATAGGTGAAAAAGAGTAAAAACGAAAGTGACTTTGTATAGAACTTACGGAGTTGCTTCTTTTAGTTGACTGATTTTGGGCCCCTTCATTTCCCCATCCGACTCGTAGGTACTATGAGTTTCAGTTGTAGTATGAGGACTGTCCAAGACGTCCTCTATAACTTTACCAATTTCTTCTCCTGTTCCCTTTAGTTTGTCGATCATCTCGACATAGGCTTTCTGATCGAACGAACTTCCAGAAGCCTCCTTTGCTTCTAAGGAATGCGTTGTATCATTAAAATAAGATTGGAAAATAAAAAGAAATATAATTTACGTACCGTCTGTTTCAATGTTTTCGCTCTCAGAAACCGTTTCCGTAGAAGTGGTAGCTGTAATCTCTGATTTCGAGTCTTCTAAAGGTGCAGTGGTAATTGTTTCGTTCGATTTATCCCTGCAGATTGGACAATAAGCGTATGGCAGAAAATATTGTACCAGAATCTCAATCTGCTTTGGATCTTTAACTCGAAGAGCCTGTTCGACGAACGATGCTACTAATTATCTGAATTATTTTACCAACTAATTCACCAAATTCTTACCTCAAAGACACCGTCAATTTTTACCATCGTCTTCTCATCGTTGGTTTGTGTTTTGAAAATTGACTGCAGCTCTTCGTCAAGAAGAAAATTTGATCTCATACTGATGACAGTAAATATTTGTTTTAGAAGCCGTCGGTACGCATTAGTTTCTGCTTTGTCATCCGAACATATGCTGGAATCCTTTGAGAAACTGCTCACGCTTTTTTTCTTAACCGGCTCCCTTTCTTTCGCCTTTTCTTTCTCTAAGAGAATGTATTTTATTTACGTATTAAAATTGGATATTTAATAATCATATATATTTGCTATGACCTAATATAAAAGCGTTTGAGAAATTCATTGCTTCAGTTCTTTGAAATTATTTTGGTGATGGTAATCCATTTCCAGTTATTATCATTATCTTCTTGCGGTCAGAATAAGGTCTAAATGACGTCATCGGTTGAAGTCTCAATAGTACGAGTGACGAACTTCTTCAGAGATTCTTCCATCTCCGAAGCTGGATGTGTGAGATGGAAGAACTTTCGAAGAGGTTCGCCACTCATGCTACTGAAACGTTAGGAAACAACTCCGAGTCTTTACCAATTTGTCAGAAATAAGTGTCTTCATTTGTAATTTTAGAGAAATTAATTTTTAATTGTTCCAAATCCAATTTATCAGAAGTAGCTGTAACAGATTTGACTAACAATAGTCTTTACCTTGCTCCAAATATTTCAGTGCATCCTGATAACTCTGTAGTTGTTCCTTGCTTTTTATTTCTCTTTCCGGCGGTTTCCATTTGATTCCCAGCTGCTGTTCGTGCAAAATTCTATCTATGGTGAGTATTTTATGAAGAATAGTGCTCAGTCGTTCGTAATTGAAGTCCCACAGTTCCTTAAACTTCTCATCATTTTGTCTGGCTATCGTGTCGGACTTCTCGTCTGTATCAAGAACGTAATGTTGCAATTTTATTATTTGTTCAGTTAATTTGGCAAACTGAGCATCGGTCTTGGTGATATAATTTCGCATGTTGGTTCGTATGGCGTTGATGGCATCTTGCATTTTGTTGATTTTACGTTTCTGTTGGGCTTTAATGATGACGTTTTCATCCTCTCTCCGTTTCAATACTTGATAATTGTAATCCATCTTTTCGCTGTTTAGCAATATTTCAGCTTTAAGTCGCTCGAATTCTTTCTGAAGGTCTTCGGTATCCCTTTCGATTTTGATTTTGGTATCGCGGTATCTTTCTTGAAAATTTAGATGATGTTCGTGCATCATCTCTTCGAATTCCTCCATTTGCTGGAACTTCTTTTCCTCATTGCTCGCTTCTTGTTCGTCCCGTTTCTTGTAAAGGTCTTCCCAACGTTTATCAGCTGCGTCGATCATCATCCTCCTTTCTACCATTAGTACTTCTTCTATAAGCTTAAGTTCTTGTAGGTAAGCCGCTCTCATCAACGTCACCTAAACATAGGAGATTACTTCTTCATTTAAACCAAAATGTTAATGAAGAAAATGGTGTTGTGATGAGCAAGTAATAAGATCCATCATGGCAGTCTTTTCTTGACCTCATCATTTGTGATTCCGTCTTATAGGAGAAGCCAGGAAAGCAAGGAGTTGAAAAAAATGGTTGCTCAACTGTTGTGATACACCCAATATATTAGAGTAAATTGTGAAAAAGAAATTGTCATTTTGGACATTGAAACTTGTTTATAATAAAAATATAAAGGCTAATAAGAATGCCTAAATTTTGATTATTGATGATATGGAGTCTATTTCTAATCTGCCTCGTAACCAACTTTGATACCCATTTGTATCATAACGCTTTCATCTTGGTCTCATAACAAACGGAAGGATCACGTGATAGATCAGTTTTGCTCATCAATAATTTTAGAACAAACGACAAACTACACCGATACATTCCTGTTTTTCTATTCTTTTGGTAAGTACGTTGATGTCGTTGGTTTGTTTTCTCTGATCAATGGAAAACTTTTTCTCAGCTTCAGCGATCTCGTTTTTTAGCATTGCGATAATTTCATCTTTTTGCCTGATGAGTTCGTCGCACTTTTCTTTTTGATTTGCGATATCGTCATTTATTGCTAGAGGATCGTTGTATCTCAAAACGTCCAGCCATTTATCAGCAATTTCGTCGAACATGTCCCTGGCCTTCTTAGCTTCTTCCTCGAGTTGCTCGATGATCTTTTCCCTACCAATCCCTTCAATTTCCCTCCTGTCCGCTTCCCTGGAATCACTTGCCACCCGGACATTCGTCACCAGTTGATTAGCTTGTAATATCAACTTTTCTAATACTTCAGTACTCTTCTTGTACTGCTGCTGGTGAAGAGTGGGCTCCTCCACAACTTCTTCTATTTCTTCTTCAGGAAGATTTTGTCTAAAAGAAAAAAGACTTTTCGTAATGCTTTGCATCGTCAAAAATAAACCAAAAAGTAAGCAATCGACTAAATGTTTATTCAGGAAAAGGTTGTAAAGGTTTCATTCCATTGCTATCTTATAATACACAGCCATAAACACAAGCATTTCGAAGGCAACAAGACCGCATAAAATGTGATAAAGATGAGAAGGGTTACGTCTGTCGACGGTGAGAGGGCAAGAACAATTGGGGCACCTTCGTATTGCTTCAGCTCGTCTTTGTATTCTTAATCTTCTTGCCAATTTTCTTTCAAAAGGATCTGGCGATGAAACCGATGGTTCGCGCTCTATTTGTTCTTCCGTGTCATCGATCGCATCCATTTTTTATTATGATATAAACAATTGTAAATTATTACTAAGAACTTCTTCTAGCTTGCAACTTCATATTGAAGTTTGATCAATTTGAATCCTGTTTATTAGGAGTCATAACAACGCAAACGGTTAGTACGCCACTGGTATATTATTATTTATTTAGTGTCAGTGTATTAAAAAAAGAAGATTTGTGTATAGTGCTGATGTGTAATATTTCGAATTTTAGTGATTATTACGGATTTAATAACATGTTTGGTCCTAATAACCCTTCGGCTGATACGTCCCTGCTGAGTTTAATTAATACTTTCATCATTGTATCATAGATGACGCGTACTATCGCTAAAGAAATCTTAAGCATACATCGCAATTTAGCTTTCGAATTATAGATGGTGCAATGGTCAAGAAATAGTTCAGAGTAGAGTGCTGTAGTTCAAACGTACCCTGCTTTCCTTAACCAAGTAGGAAAAATGTCGGTGAGTATTAAATTTATTATCTATTTTATTCTGACAAATCGTCCTTCTAATTGCTTATAGAATTGTAAAATTTAACTTGTTATAATCCCTGTTATGTGGCACATATAGCATTTTTGTAATATATTTGTGTTCCAATTTATAAACATGATAAATATACTAACCTCAATGTTACTAAAACATACATTTGCAGCCCGCAGTGAAGAAGGAAAAGAGAGAAGTCAAAGACAAATCAAAGAATCGGATGAAAGATCTACACATCCGAAAATTATGTTTAAACATTTGTGTAGGTGAATCTGGTGACAGATTAACTCGTGCTGCCAAGGTGAGTTGTATTGTTCCCTGTTTTGGTGGTCTTTCATAGTCTGATTTGCTTCTAGGTTTTAGAACAATTGACTGGTCAACAACCTGTATTTTCTAAAGCTAGATATACCGTCAGGTCGTTTGGTATTCGTCGTAATGAAAAAATTGCAGTACATTGCACTGTAAGAGGTGCCAAAGCTGAAGAAATCCTTGAGAGAGGGCTCAAAGTAAGAGAATATGAGTTGAGGAGGGATAACTTTTCAGGTGGGTATAATCCCATCTTTATGAATTATTAAGAAAACTAAATTCTTTCATTTTTAGTGTCTGGTAACTTTGGATTTGGTATTCAAGAACACATCGACTTAGGCATCAAATATGACCCAAGCATTGGAATTTATGGTTTAGACTTCTATGTAGTCTTAGGCAGACCAGGATTCAATGTTGCACATCGCAGGAGAAAGCAGGGAAAAGTTGGTTTTGCACACAGGTTGACCAAAGAGGATGCGATGAAATGGTTCCAACAGAAATATGATGGTATAATCCTTGCTAGTAAAAAGTAAAACAAATGTACAATTTATGTTTGTAATTAACATATGGTGTACAATCAACAATAAATTTTGTTACAAAAGTTTGTGTTTTTATATCATTACTAATATTATTACTTTAAGTTAATGTTAATTTATAGCTGTACCCTTATAAAATGTACCCTTTCAAATTCAAATAAATATGTGACACCTTTTAAAGACGGAATTTAAATATTAACAACACCAAAGGTTTTGTTAATGATCCTAATTAGAAAGTATCTTTAAATTAGTTTCTGAAATTGGTCCAGTATCTTCTTCTTTTGTTAAAATTATGAATGTGGCTTAAACGGAATAGGGAAATAAATAATAAAATAAAGTTACCTCCAGAATATTTTTATTTTATGGAAATAACTGCTGTTATAATATTCGTTGGTATCTTAAAAAAAAATGTAACATTTCTTATATGACAACAAATACTAATGCTTCTATGTAACAAGAGGCTTAAAAATAGATTATGCAAGGTATTTTTTTATACCAGTAATTCTAGATAACCAGAAGAACTACGCTCTATATCATTTGCAATGTAGAGAAATAGTTTCCTTTTTAGTATTGCACTCCACCGACCAAACAACGATGAGGAAATAAAAAAACCCTTAAATATTAATTATCTGCAAATAGATACAGTGATTATAACTCCAAAAGAAACAGTAAAAAAGCAGACGAATTGATTTTACCCTATTCAATGTAGTTGAGAATTCCACGCAGATGGATTTTTATTATATCTTTTTTAATTTATTTCTTTTAAAGTTTTATTATATATTAAACTGTTGCTACTGTAACCGTCCAAACCTTAAGATTATAATTTGCATACTAACAATAACGAAAGCTTTTATGAGCAACCGAAATTTTTCATCTAAATAATTAATATATACGATATATTATGAAGTGTATTTCTATAATCAAAACTGCCTAAAGTGCACTTATGATGTAGCATAATCGTTATAAATACATATATTTGAATCCCCAAAAAAGAATAAAGTTATAAATATAAACTAGCTCACTCTGACAGTAAACAACCTCGCTCAGCACACTTATTGGTAGAATAATCACATAATTTACTTTTTCTTTAATTAATTAGGAACAAGCGCAAATATTTCGCCTTTTTTTAACGTTTTAATGTTAACTAATAACTATAAAATGGGTTCTGCAACATACAAATTATAATGTAAGTACTTGAGAAAAAAAAAACAATTTTTTGCAAAGATGACGAAATAAAATAAAATTTTGTATTTTAGTAAGTCAAAAATTTCGTCGGTCTTCATCAGTCTTCAACTTTACAGTTTACTTTAGCTATAACTAATTGATTGTGTTTATTATTTCATTACACAACAATTCCTATACATTGATTTTTATAAATCCTTCACCCTTTTTTGAAGAATTATTTTACAATTAAACCCTTTCTTATTATTCACCTTTCGCAACCAATCACTATCTTCTTGAAATGTTCAAATACTTTTTGAAAGAACCCCGTAACTACAAAAATTGATTTAGGTACTCAAGAACTTTTTTTTGTTGTTCGCTTATATATTTCTTTAATTTTCTAATTAAAAAGGTAACTTTTTGAATGCGCAGAACCCAATCGAAGCGCAAAAAGATAATACAAGAGACAAGAGCAAAAATAAATTTAACATTTAACAGTCACGAATGCCTAGCCTTATCTATACTACTAATCTCACTCTCGGTGAATCCCAGAATACTTTGGATGGCCCTTAAATGACCCTGGTTGTTCTCTTTGTCGGTAAGGAAATAATAAATTGCCGACTTCAAAAATTGCAACGTCACTTCCGGATCTATTTTACTGGCGCAACTCTTCGCCTGTAACAACTGTTTGTACATTGCCTGTAACGTAGGAAATTAATTATTAAGTTTTGGTTTTGCTGTTTAACCGCTTAAGAATATACGTAGTAAATTGTTTTTTAGGCAATTGTAAAAGAAACATAACAGTTACGTGCAATATGCCATGTGAAATAATAGAGCTAATGAGTAATGGTAATAATTAATGTACTCGTATAATATTATATTAAGTACCTAGTACTTTACTTACCAATCTTGTTCTTAAATAGTTTTTATAAAATAGCAACAGCTATAATTGTTAAAAAGGGGATATTTTTAATTTATAGTGAAATATTTATCTGTATAAGGTGTATACATATCTTGTTTTTAATTTGAATAAATATAGCATTTTATATAAATTTGTTGTTAAGTGTAATATTTCAAATGTTTGACAGGTAAACCAATAGTCCCTACTGACTAAATCAAGGATGTAACTTCAAGCTTAAGAAGTAGATAGTACGTACCTTTACAAAGCCCTTGAATAAACATTTGAAATACTATAGCTAACAGCAAATACCAGTAGATGGCGACTTACAGTCTATACCGTGGTTTTGTTTTAATTCGCCTTTAATGTGAAAATTCATTTTCTTTTATTTTTACTACTACACTAAACTACCTGAGTTTAATGAGAGAAAAATTTTGTTGCTATTGTCACACCCTCGCCGGTAGTCGAACCCTGTGGTGCGTAAAGCCAAAGGTCCCGGCTTCTATTCCTGGCGAGAATGTGACAACAGCAACAAATTTTTTACGCATTAAAAAATTAGAAATGAATTTTTACATTAATATTTGATTAATTAATCACTATTAAATGTCAATATATATAACTTCGTAACTGTCTATGGCGTGCAGATGAAAACTAATAATTTTGAAATCGCGATTTACGTATGTCTGATAATTTCGAAAAATTATTGACCAAGAATTTAAATGTTGTTTTCGTTTTTTCGTATCTCTTGTTATCTCTCAATTTATTATTACTTAAAATTGTAAAATAAAGAGTTAAAACGGAAAATTAATAAAGCGTATAAAGTGTTTGGTATGTTAATCTAAAGTAAGCAATTACTAACGAATTGGCTGATTAAAATTCCTGATCTACTGAAGCGAATCTATCGCACCAATTAGCTACCTATTAATTAATTATTTATACCCACAAAATACATGTAGATAGGATAAGTACATAAAATATCAAGTATATACATGCACAAACGAGGCTGCTACATACAAGTATAAGTAATGCCTTACGCATGCATAAGGCGACATTGTACCTATATCTATAATATATATACGTGATGACTGCAATAAGTTATTATTAATTGCTTTAAAATTGCGAACAACATTTACTAAATGAATGTGCAAATAAAACAAGTAACATTCAAAAACACATATCTGTAAGAACTCGTCTGTATGTAAAGTTCTGACTTTGCAAAAATATATTATGTAATTCAACGGTAATAATTGTAGATAGTATGAAAACCGACTCTGGAGCTTTCCCTCGAACAAATCTACAGCTTTTTTATTTCAACAGAAAAGAATCTTTGGAAATTCTAAATGGAAATATTATTGGAAGTAAAATAATTCGAAGTGGTCTGTATTCTGTCGAAACTGCCAGACGCGGATCGCGATTTCAATCTTTTTGGATCTCATCAGCGCGTCGCTGTTGGCTACGCCGGGATTCCTTTTCAGCAAGTAGATATCCATACAAGTGGGCCTTGTTGGAGCATACGTAATCCTAAAATGTAGCATCGTGCTACAGATGGCGTTTACTGCGCCATTTGTAGTATTTTCTAAAACGCAATATTGGAAGTATTTTGGAAAAAGTTAAAAGGAAATGACCCTTCTTGCCCCCCTTACCTAGTAGTTACGCCCATGGTAACAAAAGACAAAACAATTTTGTTAAATGTTAAGAAATGAGTTTCATTCAGTAAGACTAATTTTCTACAAGTTATCTTTTCCTGAACTTTAGTTACTTACTACTCCCCGTATACCCCGCATCCATGTCATATCCGTTATTAAACCCTTGAACCTTTGTGTGTAATTTTACATCTTAATCTTTCATTCCGATCTCGCTTTATGCCCGAGCAATAGCCAATTTCGATTTTTACGAAAGTTTTAATTGAAACCAACATGCAAATTAAAAACCATAATTATCGATTGGCGGTAGCGGAATGGGCATTTTGCGAACCGGTGGAGCGATAAATTGACCTTCCATTCTCGAGGAATTACAACCATAATTTCCATGTCGGAATACGGAAAATATTTGAGGGATTTTGGTGCCCATAGAAAGTACCACAAAGGGATTTCAACGAAACTTTGCAAGGATTTTTTTCTTACTAAAGTAAAACAAGCTATTGAGCTATTAAGTAACTAACAATGTCATAGGATTTCATATATTTAATAGCACAAGCCAATTGAAAGAAGTAAAATTATCAAAAAAAAAAAATGTTTGTCTCCATATTTCAATGGAAACAAAAAACATCCCTGTAGTTCCCTTTTTTCAAACAATGATAAAATTTCTTTTTTTTTTATATATCTAGGGTTAAAGATATTGTATCTTTAAATAAAATGGAAGCGGTATTGACAAACAGTAATGTATGAAAATAAATAAAAGTGAAACAAAAATACTGGTATGCAAGATAAGAAAAAGTAGGGAAAAAGAGAATATAAAGATAGGAGACGAAAAAGTAGAAGAAGTGGCTGATTTTCGGTATCTAGGAAATCAGATAAGTCAGGACGGAAGGAGTAGTAGAAAATAAAGCAGAGGATAGTCACTTCTATACTCGCGGACGGTTAATTTAGAAATTCAAAAAGGATTTTTAAAGGTGTATGTAAGGAGCGCGGCGCTGTACGGATGCGAAACATGGACGGTGGGCGCGACGGAAAAGAAAAGGTTAGAAGCTTTCGAAATGTTGTGTTACAGGCGAATGATGAGGATACCGTGGATAGAGAAAGTTAGAAATGAAGAGGTAATAGAAAGAGTAGAAGAACAGAGACTATATAGAAGTCAATAAGAAATAGGCGAGATAGGTTAGTAGGACATCCTCTCAGGCACGAAGGTCTAGTCAGAGACATATTAGAGGCGGATGTGGATTGTTCTAGTTTTAGGGAAATGCGAAGTTTAGCTCAGGATCAGAAAGAGTGGAGGTACGTGTTCAACCAGTCTTAGGACTGACGACCTTATGATGATGATTTGGACTATCTACTATATCAAATTGAAAATTTCAAATTTTTAAAAAAAAAAATTGTTCCAAGAAAAGAATACATTAATGTTACTTCAAATAGTCTAACTCATAAATACATCAGAAGTAGATAATAATTTTTCGTTTAGTCTTGCGTATTTTGTCTTGGTTTTAGTCTTGGTCTTATTCGTTCAGTCGTGGTCTTCGTCTTGCTAATATAGACAGTTTTGGTCTTGGTCTAACCAAGACTGCAAGACCAAGGTACATCACTAATATCAATAAATAAGACTGAAAGCTCGCAGAACCTTTACGTTAAAATTTTCCGAAAATTGTTAACTTTTTATTGTCCAGAACCCCCTGCCCCCTCCTTTCTGAGAATAGCAGACGAGTTCCCACTTGTATATATCGCATTCCCTGCCCCTCATTCAACTACAACCCACCCCTTCCCCATCTACTAGTTTTGCTACGGTTAATCTGTTTTTTTTTTTTTTTTTAATATTAATTACCTTACGAGCACCTAGAACCCAAAGTGCAACAGCCTCTTTTGCACTTAGTAGCGGCTGTTTAGATGATGAGGCGAATTCTAAGTCCTAGAAAATTGTTAATAAACAATATACAACAATCACAAACAGAGAGTTCAGGTTAATTTATCGTGTATTAATTGCCTATCGATAATAAGCTTCAACAACAATTAGACAAAGACAACAACACAATAGAAACAAATCATTATTGTTAGAAAAACCGTTTCAAAGGAAAAAGAAGAAAAGTGATCAAATAAGGATATTTTTTGGGATTTCTTACTGGCGTCTGTTAAATAAATAAATTGCGAGATAGACATAGGTACGTATCTTCTTTACTTACCTTAACGTTTTCTAATTCTTGCTGAGTTACTTGAAGTTGGTGTAGAAGTTCGGGTACGGATAGGCGCGACGGTTTTTTCAGGGCCAGTTCAGTTACCTGTTTGATTTTGTAAAAACAAAACGTCACCTAACTGTTTTAATTAATCTAAAGCTATCGATGAGTTTAACAGTCTTGGTCCTGTAATTTTCTTTTGTTTTGTATCGATCTTGGACATTTAGGAAGACGAAGATCAACAACAAGATCAAGTCTAAGTCTTGAGCAACATCCTCGTAAAATTTAAAATACAAAAAAAAATTGTTCCAAGAATATATTAATGTTGCTTCAAACAGTCTAACTCATAATTCGTCTTGCTAGATATATAGAAAGCTATTGATGAGTTTAATAGTCTTGGTCATCAGTTTTCTCTTGTTTTGTAACCGTCTTGGACATTTAGGAAGACGAAGATCAACAACAAGATCAAGTCAAGACTTAGTAGCAAGTATGTCGTAAAATTCTCAATAATTTATTCGATTAGAAACAAAAGAGAGTTTCATACTCATTCTTGCAACTCCTACTTGAAGACTAACGATAAAATGAAAGCAGTAAAGATAGATTTGAAATTTCAAAGCTACACTGTTACGATAAGTCTTACAAAAAACAACAAAAACGAGACCAAGACCAAGACGTTCCATCAAAAAGCAACGTCAAGATAAAGACTAAATGTGCTAGATCAGGGGTCGGAAAAACCGCGGCTTTTTCAGATTGCCTTAAAAAAAATAAAAAGTTAAAGCGGAACAGACAGACACGCAGCGCAAGCGTGTACCTAAAACAAGAGACTTGCACTTTATGACTGATTTTACAATGCATCTCAACGATCTCAATTTAAAGCTTCAGGGAACAGGAAACATTACATTTTCATGACTGGAACAAGTAGTTGGTTTTGAAAATAAATCGCTTCTTTTGGCAGAAGATATGGAGATGGACACATTATTACATTTCCAAACCTTAAGGAATCGTCAAGATGGAAGCAGTGCTTCTATTGACACTGACGATTCCTTCACGAGAACGTTCAAAACAATGAAGGATGACTTTGCTGAACGATTGGATGTTTTGATTTGGTTTTCGTTGAGAATCGTCACAAAGAAAATAGCAAAGAACTAAATTTTACTCCATTTAATATCAATGATGGTTCATTTAAACTAGATTAAAAAAAGCGAAGATTTGTGGATTCCGAAATGTACGAGACTAAGTAGTAGCTTCGAAGAGTCTTTTGATATGGTAACATAATAAATGATCAGCCCTAAAAGGGACGCTTAAGCCTGAGGCATTAATTGTCGATAGCTAGAATAGTCTTCCGGAATGCTTTCATCAAATAAAAAACGCTTTCTCTTCTATGAACTTAATAAAGAACAAGCTAAGAAGTCAAATAACTAAAATTTAGAGTCATGTCTCAAACTAAAAACTACTAGTTATGTCTCGGACTTACTAAAACTTTCTGGGGAAATGCAAGCTCACGTTCGCATTAATTTTTTTAATATAATTTTAGCCCTGTAAAAGCCGAATTAAAAATTCGTGGCTCTTTGAAATTCACGAAACAATATTTTTATTTCGACTTAAAAGTTTTCCGACTCCTGTGCTAGACCAAGACCAAGACAGTATTAGTCTTATCTCGGTCTATCGTTTGCTCAACGTTATCCAAAACATTGGAATACCAACCGCAGTTTCGTAGAAAATTCAAACGTTTGATGATTAAAGTAAAGTCACAAAAAAAGACAGCTAAATTTAATTTTTTTGTACTTTCCTTTTTTTTTTGAGATTGTCGGAACATTCACTGACCTGTTTATCCTGTTCCGTTTTGGCAGCCTCTTGCTCTTGAGCGTACATCTTCAAGTAGCCTTCTTTGTGTTTTTGTTCCTGCTCTTCTAGCTTTTTACAAGCATCCTCCAACTGTTGTTCCAATTCTTTGATCCTCTCCCGAGCCGCTTCCAAATCCGGAACTAACTCCCAATATCTTCAATTTACCAGGAAAATTTTCAAGTTAGACAAAACAATATTTTTTACGTCAACGTAAAATAAATAACAATAAAACTGTGAACTTCACTTCACTCATTAGCTTTGTAGTTTGTACTTTTGGTATTACCTTGCGTTTATTTCGCTCAATCTCTGAAGCAATTCTTCGACTTTGTCGTTGTGTTTTTGCTTCATTTGATGACAGTCTTCTTCATGGGTTCTGACCAGTTCTTGGATGCGTCTTTCGTATTCCACTATCAGGCGATTATGTTCCGATTCAACGTCCCTGGGACCCAAATTGGCCAACACACTCTTTTCAGCTGTCTCTCCCCGTGGAAACAATTTTCGATTCTAAACAATACATATTGATACCATTGGTATATTTCGAAAGCATTTTAGGATTAATTAGTATTACTTATTTTTTTTTTTCTTTAAATCGCAACGTCATGTCATTTGTTAATTAAAGGACACGTGCAGTTGCACTTGTTTTTTGATTGCATTACATTAGTGTTTTCTATTTTACTGTTTGAGATGGAATTAATTTCCAAAAAAAATTAACTTCCATATTCGAACATTTTACGAAAAAATCTTTATTTTAATTGAAATTCGTTAAGTCTCCTTTTTTATATACCTTATAAAAAGGACAAAATTTTATAGGCAGCAACTTAATTTTTTGTTTATTTCTTTTAATCCATTTCGAGGGTTTAAAGGACGATCGGACTAATGGAGTATATTACTTACGACGTATCCATTAGCTCGCCTATTCATTTTGTGAACTTTTTAGAGAATCTAATACACAAATGTATTAATTCATTTTTTCAACAGTAAAATGTAGGTATCTTAACAACAGGCAATAATTTACGTTGATTTAAAAAATAAATAGATCTCTAACGCCAGTGTGGGATTATGTGGAAAATAAGGCATTGTTGTAACCCACATGAAATTCGTGGCCCACATATATACACATCTAATTGATATTACACCTATGGATCCTTCACATGGGGGTCTCACTTAGTTTGAAACAAAAAAGTTTTTTCCGAATATTCCAACGCGTTCTCATTGCCATAAATATTTTTTGAAGAAAGTCATGAAAATAATTACGAGATGCAAAAGTAGGTTAATACTTATGTGTTATTATCATGTGAGCAGTATGAGCATCTAGCAAGAAGGAGTTAGAGATAGTTGCAAATAAAATAGAAGCGGTATTGACAAAATGCTACTGTATGAACAGAAATAAAACAAAAATACTGGTATGCAAGGGAAGAAAATGTAGGGAAAGAGAGAATATAAAGGTAGGAGACAAAACATTAGAAGAAGTAGTTGATTTTAGGTATCTAGGAAGTCAGATAAGTCAGAACGTAAGGAGTAGTAGGGATATAAAGCAGGGGATAGCGCAGGGTCGAGTCGCCCTCAATAGAAAGAAGTCACTTCTATGCTCGCGAACGGTTAATTTAGAAATTTGGAGAAGATTGTTAAAGGTGTATGTACGGATGCGAAACATGGACGAGGCGGAAAAGAAATTAAAAGGCTTAGAAATGTGGTGTTACAAGCGAATGATGAGGGTACCGTGGATAGAGGATGTTAGAAATGAAGAGGTATTAGAAAAAATAGGAGAGAACAGAGGACTCTATAAAAGTCAATAAAAAATGGGCGAAATAGGTCGGTAGGACACCTTCTCAGGCACGAAGGTCTAGTCAGAGACATATTAGAAGCAGAAACAGGAGTTGGGAAGGGTAGAAGTAGACCTAAATTAGATTAATGTTCATAAATAGTTTAGAATGGGATGTCATGTCATTGTTTTAGGAAAATTCGAAGACCTTCTCAGGCATGAAAATCTCCTCAGAGACATATTAGAAACAGGAGTTAAGAGGAGTAGGGGTAGACCTAGATTAGATTTAGTGTTTCGCAAATAGTTAAGGATGTGAGTTGTTCTAGTTTTAGGAAAGATTAGCTCAGGATAGGAAAGAGTGGAGGTACGTGTTCAACCAGTCTTAGGACTGACGACTTTATGATGATGATGATGATTATCATGTGACATTGGGATGTTTCATGATTTTGTGTACGCATAAAAAAAAAAACCACATCACCCCCGCCATTTACCTCCCTGTATAAGTGAAATAAAAAAACTCACCGAAGATAACGGTTCTTCACTGCCACAGATCGAATCTTTCGAATGGACCGAGGAATTGGTGAAATCTTCAAAATGGCCGGAATCTGCACAGGAACTGCTGAGATCGTTGGCCAGTTGTAACCCTCCCCCTCCTCCCATTTCAACTACCGGACCATTTTCCAAATGATCGGCTATCGGCGTCACTTGTTCGCTTGTATTTTCCTTCACTGTCACGGCATCACTACTCGTAGATCTACGTATTAAAAATAAGTCCAAAAACAAATGAATTAATAGACCGATAAATGCAAACAATGAAGTAAGGATCTAAGTACCTGTCTTCCGGAGAATTAAGGGCGGCCTTGTATAATCGCAATTCGACCACTTCTTTGGTCAACTTCAGTATTTCGCTATCCTTTTGCTCGAGTTCCTTTTGCGCCTGTTGCAGCAACATCTTCAGTCTTTTCACTTGTCTATGCGCCCTCTGAGTGGGCGTGAGGTAGTCCTCTCCGGCTCCCGAGTGTTCCGAACAATGCACCACGTACCTAAAGATAAACAAAACAGTAATAATCACTTCCCCCAAGATGGGGGTACCAGAAGATCCGATCCAAAAAACTATTCAGTAGTTCCCAAAAAAATTGTAAAAATTTATCAAGGGTTTTGTAGTATTGAGGTCTATATCCAGGAATAAACATTTATGATTTATATCTGGTTTGATCTACTTCTGTTACCGTAATAGAAGAAGTAAAAACTAACTAAATAATTCACCATTATGATGTGGATGATCACAAGAAGATATTAAAGATTTCAAACAAATATTGGAGAACGAAGCAATAGAATCCTATTGTACTCTATTTTGAAAACTATGAAATGTTTTCTCCGAATGTCATATTTGTGGAAGCCAACATAAACTAATGGACGTTAATACTTCGCCTTCCGAATTTGACTCGATTATATACAGATAGTAAAAAAACCCTAAAGTAACGAATCTCTCCATATATTGCCTGGAAAACACCAACGACAATGGACGCATTGTAATAAAGATTCTGACAGGACCACTTTATCCCTTTTCATCCCATTATGTTTAATAGTTAACTTACTTCATGCTTCGTCCTGAGAAAGTAGTGCCGTTTCTCGCAACGGTTGCGTGTTCGCAGGAAGCCAGGCTGATATTGCTAATGCTGCTAGTGACGCTATCCGCGTCCCAATCCCGTAGGTTTCGATGACGCGCTTCTGGCGACGACGGAGGCGTCCGTGGTGATGATACGATATCTGCAGCCGGCGATCTCACCGACACCGGCGTCGACGATTGCGTTTTCGAAATCGACAATGACTAAAAGGAGAATTAAAAAACTAATTTTGCAAATCTATTTGTTTTATTTTTTATTTCGTTTATTTATTTTGATGATTCTCAGAGTTGTACACATTTTTCCTGGTGTGACCTTTAGGCCTTTATACATTAGTGATTCTTACAGTGATAAATTCCTACAGATGGCGTTTTTACGTCGTACAGTATGTAAAAAGTGCATGTTCTATGGTGTCTGAAAAGAACTGTACAGTTCGAAATCTTGATCTACATCCTGTTCCGACAGATAATTGACCACGAACTTACTTTCTGATGTATACAGAAACAAGTTAAACGGTTAAGGTTAGGTTAAGTTAAGTTAGGTAAATCAAAAAAAATTACCTACGTTTGGTAATGCTGTTTTCTTTGTTATTATTAAAACATATTCGTTTTATTTTCTACAAAAAAAAAATTGATTTTTGCTAATGATGCACTATTGAGACTTTTCTTTCTGTTCTAGGCATGAATCCTTGGAGTTACTGTCTATTCCGTATACAACTGGCTGGTGAGTGATCTTTAAATACTTTTATTATTTTTAGATCAATTTTTTTCGGTAAATTGAATCGGTTATTTAAATAATATATATTAACTTAATAACTTCTCAGTTAGTAAATTATTTGCAATCATCAAATTCCAACATTTGTTAAAACCCCAAATCAATGATAATAATCATGATGAATTTTTATGACAACGCATTGAAAAAAAAATTAACTAGTTTTAAAAAATTGATGAAAATATATAAAGATAATTCAAAATCAATACATGATATTGAACAATATATTATGTACCCACCTAATACAAAAAATTCCGTTGTTAAAACTAACAATCTCGTTAATAAAAATACTGCAAATGCAATATTTTATATCGCGGACCTAATCAGAATGGATTGTAATTAAAAATCGAAAGCGAATAAGATTTTAAAAGACCATACATTTATATTACCTATGCTTTTTTTAAAAGTACTTGCTTCAGGTGAACCTCCTCATTGTTAACACGTAATGATAGTGTTGCTTAATTTTAAAAGTTACGTACTGTATCTGCTCATCCAGGTTCTTTCTAATATAATGAGAGGTTTCAAAACAATAACCGTATCACGTTAAACTTTAATTGTTACAGTAATTATCGCAAATGCTCATTAAAAACCACATAGGCACCTAAACATTTCTTTATTTATGTGAAACATTTTTAATTGTGTAAATATTTAGTTTTAGAAACTTTTAGAACCCTATAAACACTAAAGTTTCTAAAAAATGTTTTATAGGAGCAATTACAATTAAAGCTAATGGTCTCAGATAATTAATGGCATTTCCGAAGAATTCTATCGTATATCGCAACAGAATTCTATTATTGCTTCAATAATAGTCTCGTTTGTCGGTCTGGTAGAAAAACGTCCTGTTTAATCTGAATATAAATTAATTACTACGTAATTGTTATATTTAATTTCATAAGTATTGCTACTTCTTGAAGTTAAAGTTTTTAAGCGAAACATTACCTCCGTACTGTAACTGCAGCACCTTTTATAATTTGTATATTAACTGTAACATCTAAATTTTATTAGGAGGAAGTTTGAGTAGCTTTGTATTTTCCTCGCTGTTACAAATAGATGGACACTATCTCAATTATTTGAATTATTCCAGTAATGGAAAACCAAAACCTGCCTAAATGAACCCCCTTTTACATCGCATACACCCCAAATTGCTGCTTTCCTTAACATAAAATTAGCTTCGGTTTAAACAGTCAGAACATTTTCAGATTTTTTTGCACTTTTTCCTCCGGCCTCGGATATTCTTGATAAGTTTCCTCGAAATTTTCCGATTATATTGGATTTGGTTTATTTTTTCAGCATATCAAGGCCTTAACTTGGATAAATATAGATAAGTCATTAAGAAATTATTGCATAAGGTGCAGAATTATTGAGAAATTAATATGAGGGTAAGATATAAAGTGAAATAAGAGTATATTAGAATAGAATAAAAAGAGAAGAACTTGAGGTTAAAGCATATAATTAATAGATACTACCATCACATAAAGGTGGTTAAGATCGCCTTGTCTAGGCTGTCTTAGTAATAGAAAACAATATGTTTAAACAAATTTTTGACGGGGCTCTAATTCGCGGCAAGGAGCCAGGGCCCTGGACACTGGATCCTAAAAGCCCTTATGTGAATCCGATCTTGTGATAGACGCTTCCGGTCGATGTAGACCACTTCGGGAATCTGTGGCTACAAATGTCTTATAAAACTTTTCTTGTAGACGTATTACCTTACTAAGTAGCTAAATACCTTAAAGTGTATTAAACCCATAATCGTTTACATTACCTATATCAACAAATTTCCTAAGAGTCTGTAATTAAAATACATGCGTAAAATATGCATAAATAATCCGTAGTGATTTCCTTATTACACTATGTAGATGTAAAGTCATTCTCAAGATAATATATGGTTAGATCGGTATTTAAAGATCACTTAGCTATTAATTATGGGATATCAAAACGCTTTTATCATATTCAATGAGCTAAATAGCTGTAACTGAATTACGAATTCCCAAAGTCATGGAAGGTTTCATATCTCCCGGGGATATCTTTAGAAATCCAAGTTTAGCAAAAACTGCTTATTTTAATTTAATAGAATCGAAAACTACCCAATAGGCCATATTTTGAGCGTAAATACCATCTCCATTAGAAGATTATTAAATAAATTGTAAAACATAGGGCAAACTGGTAGAAATACAGAAATGAGATTGAAAGAGCATGGTTAGACTTAATAAAATCAACAGAACTGTATAGATACTGACAACTCAAAATTTATAATATTCCTAGAACAGTTAGAGCTTAAAGGAAATAACCGAATAATAGTAAGCGGTGCAGCGGTTAGAGATTCCTTAGGTACGTAAAAGATCAGGGTCGGCTTTATAACTTAAATATGTTAGTGTCCGCTGCAATTCCTACCTGACATCTCTTTTCTATGTTTACGTCATTCTCTACAACGTTGTCGTAAGCGTTCTGTCAGCAACCGCTCTAGTTTAATTAATAAATTGAAAGAAGACAGTAAATGTGACACTTTTATTGTGGAATTTGCCAATTTTGAACGTCCCAACTATAGTTAGGAATTTTCGACAATATTTGAGTCGGAATTAGTAGAGCATACGATACAACAGTAATCCCAAGCCAATATTTATTTATGAATTTAATAATTTACGTGTTTTTCTCGATGAAGTTTTGACAAACCAAAACATATGTAGAATTTGTCTCATTGCATCTTGGAAACACAAAAGTTTATGATGATACTTACTATAAGTAATAATAACTTTTTATTTAATCTCCAATTACTATCATTACTTGATATTTAAACATTTGCTAATTTATTCTATTCTTTTTACGATTGAAGTATAATAAAGATTTTCTAAAAAGAAAGTAAAGGATAATTACGATTCCTAAGAATTAGTTAGATATATTTTAATTTTTCCATTAGATGAGTATTTACAGTTTTTTATGTGATTTCATAATTTTGAAACCAACTTTCAGTTATAAAAATCTCACCTTATTGTGTGCCATATTCTTGATATACGACAAAAGAAAATAGAGCAGATCGCACCGGGTCGTAGACACCAAAATGTGGCTTTTTTAACAGTAAAACAGCATACAATGACACGTATGGAATTAAATATGAATACGAAACAGTTTCAGTTAGGTAAACCATATACCAGCTCTAAATAAGTGTTCTAGCTATAAGGTACCGTAACAATAAGTATGCATTTTATAACCATGCTCAATAAATAATAAAAATTTTCCGACCTAGTAACTCATCTACTGTAACTATGTAAAAGGCCTTGAGTGCTGTATGATATTTAAAAACGATTTTAAAAGGCATGAAACTATAATTGTATTTACTATTTACAGCGGCGGATCTTTGACATTTTCGTGGGGTCCCTTAAAAAAATAAAAGATCAAATTAATTAACGAATAACTTTCAATTATTATACGGCTCTGATGAAATTTTGTGCGTCCAAATTGGAAAATTGGTTAAACAGGACCTCAAATGATAAATCATTTCCTTAGATTTCGTGAAACAAATATCACCAATATCATCCAAACAAATATCACCTTATGACACCCCGGCGACCTTTTGTTATCATTCAAATTAAAATTGGCTTTAACTACATCAAACGAATAAATTTTTCCGTCAAATTCAGGTAATTGGATAAAAAGGACCCCAAATTATGAATCATTTCCTTCAATTTCACAAAAATGTATCATACAAATTTAAATCGCAATTTGGGGCCATGTGAGGCCCCATGAGTAGGGGTCCTAGCAGAATGCATGGTTTGCGTTATCTTAATATTTACAACAAAAAAAAACAAATCGTATAGATACTATAGTTTAAAATTGCTTTACTACTTTCGTAACATCGCAATGAACGGAAAAATTTAGAATTATTCAGGTTCCTCTCTCTCAAAGATAAACCAATGATGTGCTAATTTAGAAAAAATACTAATTAAAAACAAAAACTTTGAATCTATTTTTAATTACCTTGCTTAATGATTTTATTTTGAATAAACCATTACATACATATTTACATTTTAGCCGTTACTCCGCGATTTTACTTTGATGAGAATATCGAAAATAGGGCACCTGGTACCTAGTCGCCCGAAAACTTTTTAAGGTTCTCATTGATAGAAATAAACAGAAAGAGTTTGGGTTGGGGTTTGTGCACGTATTAAAGGTTAGATGACGGTTTAGAAGGTCTTCCAAGATTCAACAGGTTATATTTTTTAATATCACATTACTTTTTTGTGGTGTTATAGCCGAATGGTGATGATAACGTGGGTAGAAAAGGTTAGAAATGAAGAGGTATTAGAAAGAATAGGAGAATAGAGGACTACATGGAAGTCAATAAAAAATAGGCGGGATAGGTTGCTAGGACATCTCAGGCATGAAGGTCTAGTTAAAGACATATTAGAGGCAGAAGCAGGAGTTAGGAGGGGTAGAGGTAGACCTAGGTTAGATTACTGTTCGCAAATAGTTAAGGATGTGGATTGTTCTAGTTTTAGGGAAATGCGAAGTTTAGCTCAGAATAGGAAAGAGTGGAGGTGCCTGTCTAACCAGTCTTAGGACTGACGACCGACCTTATGATGATGATGATGATTACTTTTATGAATTCTAGATTTCTTCAAATCTCATACATCATAATTACGTACATATCTATTAAAAAAACAGAATAATAAGTAATTTTGACGATAATAAGTCAAACAACCTTTAGTAAATATGAAGTCCGGTATGACATGAATGATTTGATCAGTAATGGTATGTTTTTATTATTGATGTTGAATATCCGTCGAACAGTTCCAGGAATTCTGATATTTCATTGATCAAATTCCTGAGCGCAAATAAGTTACACACACAGATAATCAGATATGAACTACTACTCTGCATCGAGATTAATTAGACAAGCGATAAAGCTGCACATCCAGTAGACGGTAGGGTCTTTAAATTGTTGGTTCCCGTCTCTACCT